CAAGCATGTTCGACTTACACAATAAAAAAATGCTTGTTTAATTGTATTTTAAAATTTTAAGAATGTAATTCTGTATCTGGTTTTAAAATTGATTAGCTTGATTTTCCTATACTTTTTTTTACCTCATTGAACATAAGTATTAATATTCATTAGTGTGATATTATATGTATGGGTTTTTTGAGAATATGGTGATTTAAAATTTGCTTAAGAAATACCTAAATGTAACAGTTTGGCAATTCTGCTTCTCCAAGAGGTGCACTGGGGGCTAAAAGAAAAAAAGACAACCTTTAAAAAACCACAAAAACCCCGATATACCTTCCGTGTTTCAGATGCCAAGACTGTCGCAATCATTTGGAAAGTGAACGAGGAACCTTCGCAGTAAAGATTTCTGCAAAGACAGTTTTTCTTAGCTAGGTGACTTTGTGGATAAGAAGTTCTGTAATGAACATATTAATAGTTGTAGTATTACCTGGTAGATTTTGTAGACAAACAGCTTTATGGACTTGAGTCAGCCATAGTTTACAGATCTCTGCACTATATTCTCCTTATAGCTTTAGAAACCAAGTCAAGATGTAGAAGGAAAAAGGATTCTGGGTTTGTCAGGCAGGGAACAGGACCCTGATGGGCTTCAGTCAAACACAGATATAATTACAAGGGACCAGATATTTTAAGCATGGTGAAATCATGTATGATCACAGGTCATCCTACCTTTCATTAATACAGTTAGATCAGTCTCTGTTACAACATTCTTAGGCTACTGAAGAGTTTTTCAGAACTTTATTAATCTGATGTTAAAAAATAATTCATTCATTTCCAATTTAAAGGCACGGCTATTTCTGAATTAGATTTTAAATGTGTGTCACCTTTTAAACTAAATGGATCTTTAAGCATCTGGAACACTGGTTTGCTCTCTAGTGGTACATTCTTTTCATCTCAGCTGTTTTCAAAGTCTGCCTATATGCAGAAATAAAAAGGAGGAAATAAAAAAAAAGCGATATCTTTCAATATTTAATTGAAATTAAGAAAATTCTTAATCTACTACTGTAGTATGAAAGGCTGCTAGCCAACAGTCTAGATCAGAGACATCAGGGAAGCCCCGTAGCAGTATACCAAATACCATTACCATCTTCTTCCAACCAATGTAAGTGCCAAAGGACAACTATAATAATCAACTAGATTTAAACAAATAAAAAGAAATAGCAGTATTATCTTCCTATTTAACCAATTTACATTAATCTTTCACTTTATGTATCGTTAGCAAGCTTTGCCTTAACATCCAATTATTCTTAATTTAGTTGTAAACTGAATGCTATGTTTATAAAATAAAAATGTATTGAGGGGAAAAAAGAACAACCTCAGAACAACTCTTTTATTTTGTTAGTTTAGATTAGAGAATATTTTTTCCTTAGATGAGAAAGGGGATAAAGACAGACAAATGTGCATGTGTCTGAGCAAAAGTGTAACTAGAAAGAATTAAGCTTGTGATTTTACCGCTTTGTATTTTAGTATTGCTACAGAATGCTTGTGCTGTTAATACTTTGCTTGAAAAGTAGGTTAAAAGTCATGTGTTTGAAATGATTATCTACTTAGTCTAGTGACTCCTAATAATGTGCCTGCGTGCCTGTCGGAACGTTTAGCCGTGGAAGAAATACGGCTAGTCACATTACATTTTTCTGTACATCTTTTATGAAGTAAGAGAGTGTTTTTATAGTGTAAATGAGTTATCAATTCAAAACTGTGCTGCTGTTGTGCCCTTAAAGTTTTACATTAAATCTGATTAAGAATTAATTCAAGACTTGATCTGAAGTTGAGTGGATTTTATGAAAATGGCCTTTTATAGAAACCTCCTCCCTGTCTATGCACCCTGAGTTTTCATTATCTTAGTATGATGTAAATCTAGAGAAGCTTCCATGTTCCCTTGCCTTTAGAAGTGTGGAATATGTTTTAATTTCATTTTTCCTAATGTCAATTTGTCAGATTGCCAGAATCTGTTGCCTTTATGCCTAGAATTCATAATTACTCTTTAGAACAGTTGATACAATAAACTTACGTTGATTATCTATTTAGTGGTGTATAACCACTAAACTATAATTTAAAAATTCTTCTTGCATTTTTGGGGCCATGGAGAGGGAACTGTAATTAATGTAAAAGCTCTCCCTGTAAACATTCTAATGGATGGAAATAAATGAACATGTGTGGGACATGTGACTGTTGAGTTAATTGTGTTCCTCTATTAATTTGTGAATCACAATTTTCACCTAGAAACGAGATGCAAACTAGACTAAGCACATACATGGCGTATGTATTGGTTGCCGTTTAGGCAAGAATTAATGTACAAAGCCAAGTATATGACCATATGTGTATATATTGCTGTGCCAATTGTGTTTACTTTGATATGAAAATATCATACATATCTCTTAATTAAAACAGCTTGGTTAATACGAACATTAAGTACTCTCTTTTGAAACCACTTTTACTTGAATGCTGAATTGCTTTTTAGATAAGAGGCTGTTCTCAGGTCAGGACGGTCCTGAGCTGGTGGTGGCTGGAGGCAGGGAGAATACACTGGGGGAACGGCCTGACTAAGCTTGCCCTCTGTTCAGGGGGGCCCTTGACACCAAGACAGGGTAGTAAGCTCTAGGTGAACCTTTTGTCTGACTCAGTATAGTGATGCTTATACATTCATTCTTTCTTTTATTCTTTTTTGTGGGTTTTTGGGGGGGGGAGGGGTTTGGTTTGGTTTGGTTTTTGGGTTTTTTTGATATCTTGCTTAGACAAGGGATCGCATAGCATAGCCTCAGTGAATACCACCTAATTTTTATGTCCTGAAGAATCACAGTGGCAGTTCTACAGGAACCGCAGAATGTCATTTAGTTTGTGTATAAAAAAGCATAAAAATATTTTATAGCATTTGTGTCTCCTCTGGTGTACACATAAAAAATTACGTGCCCTTTTTTTTGTCTATATAATAATGAAGATCGAGCACGAAGGTGCATGTGCACACACACATACCTATATATCTTCTTCTTTCGGGTGGGGTGGGGTGAGAAGTGCTTTACCATAGGTTGACACAGAACTTGAGTGCAGTTGAGCGGCATCCGAGAGACACACGCCCCTGTTCGGGACACAAGCCTGAAAGGCCAGGTCTGACTTCATGGGTAGAAGAGCAATGGGCAAAGGCTCAAATGTAGATACCTTCACCTGTGGGCCAGGTTAGAAAGTAGCTCTTTATTACCCTACAACTGTCAGTGCAGCTTCTAGCTGATACCCAGCTACTGGACCTTTTCAGAGTGACCTTTTCAATTTGGTGCTAGAACTGAGGAGACCATTTTATATAATAAAATGCATGTCTTGGTGTTGTTCACAGATGATGACCGCTGTCTGACAGCTAGTGTCTTCAGCTACCGCTATTTGGCTCTGACCAGGACTGGACAGGATAGGACTGTTGTTACGGATTTTGTTTCAGTAAAAAGTCATTTAGGTTAGTTAAAACAACAAGTGGTTTTGAAGGAACCTGTTTAGTTTCCTACTAGAAGAACAATTAGGCTGTACAGCGGCCGTCTCCAAACTTTTTATTTTGCACCTCTATCAATAAAATTCCCATGTGAATGTTAGTGTAACAACATTTTTCATAATTAAAATAATTTATTAAGTCAGCTTTTTAAGTGCTTCTAATATAATTGTTTTAACTGCTTTTATATGAATACGTGCGTTTGCGTAAAGTAATCGCACATTCTGAATTCAGATTGTGAAATAAAGCTCATGAACTCACAACATTCCTGGCATTTAAGAGCATTTCTAACAAGTTTCTTCCATTTAACAGAAAAGTGATGTTGGTTTCATTTCTTCTTTTAATAAACTGAAATGGTGACTAGTAACATGACAGAAATAGAAGGCAGATATTTCATGTTGTCATATGGAAAGGGAAGTATTTTTTCTCATAGTCCTCGTTGAGATAATGTAGTGATTTTTGCTTAGAAGAATGCTCAGTCAGAGGAACAAATAAAATACTTAGAAATTTAGTGGGTGGTGTGGGGGCGGAGAGATTTACATGCAAAAATTGGAAAGCACGGACTTTCTGTCATTTGAAAACTTAATCAGTTAATGAATTTGTGAAAGAATGTGTGGAATTTTAGGAATGAAAGTATTTACTGACATCGTTTGGCTATGAGTAATAATAAAATATTTGTGATTGAACAGTAAGTGCTGGCAAGGAGCTTATAGCAAGTTGCACAATATCATGAACAACTGGAAGTATATCTGCATTGCACCTTTCTCTTTTTTTAAACCAGAAACTTAGTGGTTCATAAGTTTGAGGGATTTTTTGAGAAATCTGAACTAGTTTTCTTGTGAAGAAAGTCCTTCAGATTCTAAATTCACTGACCAGGCTGGAGATCACTGTATAGATTTAAGTTTGAGGGATTTTTTGAGAAATCTGAACTAGTTTTCTTGTGAAGAAAGTCCTTTAGATTCTAAATTCACTGACCAGGATGGAGATCACTGTATAGATCATTTTAGCTGTAACATTAGTGGGAATTCTTAAGAAAATGAATTATATTAATATGAGTAGGACAACCAAACATTCTTTTGTGAAATATATTTTTTTCTGTATTTGGAGTATGGTTGATTGTAAATCAGCTAACATCTGATGTGAAAGGATGCCATTCTATAATCCACTTCACTATCTAAAATGTGAAACAGGGAGCATTTAATGTGAAACATTATCTTCTTAAACTGTTGTCTCAGAGAACTTTATTTTAGGTACGTTGGTGCATGTCTTCCCAGGTGAGTTTTAACACGTTGAAGTACATCTAGAAGGTTTCAGGGAGTTCAGGCAACTATTGGAACCTGCTCCTGTTAGTTGACTTCATCACCAGTTTCAAATAATGCGTTCATTTTCTTTTCTGAAGTTCTGATAAATGTTAACTTTTTGTAAGAATGCTAACATTTTAGTTTGAGGTTTCTTTCTGCTTATTAATTAAAATGTTTCTGTTTTCAAGGGAACAAAAGACATTGAAGGTGAAGAAGAGTCTGGTTTAATTCCGCCTGCAGAAGTATTTGCTCCTAAAAGTCTGGTGTTGGTGTCCAGACTAGATTATCCAGAAATTTTCAGGGTAAAGAATTTGCAATTTGTAATATGTATCATTTTTTATATATATATATATATTTCCATTTGTAATATATATCAGCAGACAAATGTGGTTTTAATGAAGTAGCAGTGACAGTACTTTTGATTTAAAACATCTCAGGATTTATTTGGGAATTTAAAAGCACAAGTAGGCTTAGATTGAACTAGATAAAATTCGATATCTGTGACAGTAAATAGCCCGTGTAGGTTGAAGCAGTGCTTTTTTTACCCTCCAAGTGGTTTTAAATCTACATAGAAGCTGAAATAGACATTTTTCTGGGCTCAATTTACTGTACAATGAAGGGAATTATTAGGACAAAACCAGACGTGCTCAGGTAAAAACAACACATTAGCAATATTTGATTAAGTATATAATGGTAAATTAATAGTGAAATCCTAGTTTTCATCCATATGTAAGGAAAAAATGTCACAGTCTTTTCCAGATCAAATTAAGATGCATGACAGAGATTTAGGATCTTGGATTGCTTTCAGCTGATGAAATATGGCTGATCTGAGATAAATGAAGAGCTTAAATTTTTATTAAGCTAATATATATTAAGAGAAACAAATACAGTTCAGTTTACAGATCAAGGGAGGAAATCATTCAACAGTTAAGTTGTCATTAGGCATTAAGAATGACTGTACCAAGTGAGATTAAAAGTCCACGTAGCCCAGTGATTTGTCTCTGATAGTGGCCTCTAGTGAATACAAATCAAAGTGTGTAAGAATAGGGCAGGCTGTAACTCAGTGTGAATTATAGTTAAATGACATCCTGAACCAGAGGTGTCAGTTGTGTGGGTTTTTTCCCTGTAATTTGTCCAGTTTTGGACAATGCTCAGATTTTACAATGACCCGTGGCAAGGAGTTTCACAGCTTAACTATGTGTCATATGAAAAGTTACTGTTGGAATTATTTCTAAGAAGAGAATTCCTAAAATATTTTTCTGAATTATCAAAATTACAGCAGTTAAAAGGCACCAAAGGGATGCTGTGGAACAGAGTTATTTATTTTTTTCCAAAGACTTCTTAGATTGTGATGTAAGTCATCTTACATTAAATTATTAGTAAAAATTATAAAGCTCTATCTGTGATTTCTCAATCAATACTGGATCCATACCAAAAAATATGGAAATGCTGAAGTGTTAATATGCTGTTAATTTTAAAATATATTTATTTTGAAGTAATAAAATAAAGAATGTAAGTTAAATAACGTATGGAATTGTTGATCTTTGATGCTAGTCTTAAAATGAGCCTCAAAAGCTCCTTGATTCATCAGTGTTCTACTCTGAAAACCAGTCAGATTTAGGTCCATAGAATTCAAAGCACAGATGAAGCTATGTTGGTTTTATAATTTTTAAAAATAACTTGCAGTAAAGCACTTCTTGTATAATGAATAAAGCACAAATATTAAACATTTAATTTCTTTTAAAAAAAGAATATATCTAACCTGCCAGCACATATATCCCTTCTAAATAGCCAAGCCGATATTTTTAAATGAATGATTGCTTCTATAGCAGATTACTGTTTACAGTATATTATTACAGTATATATTCTATATACAGATTACTATTACAGTCTTCGGTTGGAAAGTACTTCACTACATTAATAACTATTAAGACACTTATTTTAAAAAAACTATATACGTAGATCTTTAAGTAATTTGACATCTGCCTTCCCTGCATAGCAGTCTAAGATATTTTGTCTACCTTTCTAGGCTTGCCTTGGCCTCATCTACACTGTGTATGTGGACAGCCTGAACGTGTCACTGGAGACTCTCATTGCAAATCTGTGTTCATGCCTTGTCCCTGCTTCTGGCGGGTCTCAGGTAAATGGAAAAAAAGGGTATTTTTCCAGTTAATTTAATTTATGAAGAAAACAAAAAGTAAATTCTTGAAATATTTTTGAAGAAAAAAAGATCATAGTTCAGCTGAGTGCTTTCCCTGTGGCCTGTGAGTGCTTTCCCTGTGGCCTGTCTTCTAAAGACAGCAAAAATTCCATTCCAGGATAAGGTCAAAGGGTTAATTTTGTCACTGAGTTGGCTTTTTACAAGACACAGTAACAAATCAAGCAGTTTGTATAAGTTTAGTTTTTAATAATAATGTGTATTCAGGAGTATTTCTGCTTGCTACAGATTTTTTTTAAAGGCTTTTTTTCATTGGCATTTTTTAACATGCCCTTCACTTTAGTTCATTTTCCCTTGTCTTTTCCTTGATGCAGTTCACGATTCCACTGGCCTTTTCTTTGGTAACTCTTCTACATTTCTATTTTCATAAAACTTTAAAAGAATGCTAAAAAAGTAACTTGGACATGGTTTTCTCAGAGGTAATTAAATATTCCGGGTAGCCCATGCGTTCAAAAGTAAGAAGAAAGTTCTCCAGCAACTACACTTCTTTCTGCTTTTTACCTATAATTCCTGTGAGAAGAAAGTCAGGTTTGTGTGTTGATTTACTTTAAATAAATTATTCCTATACATTTGTGGGTTTCTGATAAGCCAAGTGGGTCTTATTTGCTTGACCTTCACTTTATGTTGTGACACTACTGGGAAATTGTTGTCCTTACCATGGAAAACTTAGCTGGAAACTAAGTACACAAATGACAATATTTAAAAGTTGATTTCATACACATTTTCTCACACTTCCTACCCACCCTATGGGTTATCAACCTTCTTAAAATCCTCCAAATCCCTAATCCTTTTCTGTTTTTCCCATAGCCCTGGCTGCTTTGGAATTTCTCTTAGCGCTGTAAGTGGTAAAATGTCCTCTCAGCTTAGTCAAGATCTACCTTGCTGCTCTCCAGGCAACCACATCCCTGTTTTTGCATCCCAAGCATTTTGGTTTTGAAGGGGAGTAATTAAATTATATCTCCCTATCAGAAACCCTCTTTTTCAGGGGTATTTGAACCTCTTAATACAGGTTTTGGTGATCCACTTGAACTTCTGGCTCCTCTTCTACCCCCTTCCCCCCTCCCCCCCTTTTTTTTTTCCCCTCCTTACGCTCATCCATAAATATGGTTTTCCCCAGTGGCCATTTCCTCTGATAGAGGAGGCAGGAAAATTCATGCTCCTCTGGCTATTCTCCCTTCTGCTTTCTCTCTTCAAATAAAATGTTCTTTAAGTTCGAACTTAAATTTGCTAGTGTCAAACTACCATTTTAATCAGAAGTGAAGTTCTTCTGTTTTCTTTCTTAAGCTTTATGCTTCCAGGGCTGAATCTGAATTATATCTCTTAGAATGAGAACACTCTTCTGATGTTTATCTCCAGATGTCCTTGAGGAGCCTCCTATAGGCTATTCATGTGTCCACTGTTGAAATAATCAACTGCAAAATTAGTTATTGACCTTTATCCAGGTCTACTGCTGAAGTGCTGGGCAAGAACATCTCTGCTACAGCTCAGGGACTTGCTGGGTTTTACTGTGGAGCATTTTGGTTTCAAATATCTGCTGTGCAGGAACTAGAGGTTGCTGCCTTCATACATTCACCATCTTTGCTGCTGTACAGAGTGGAGTTGTACCACACTCACTGCTTGTATATAAAGGCCCCCCAGCCCATGGTAGGTAGTGGCTAGAGGTAACTGCTTGAAATCACCACTGCTGAGTGTCGTGTGGGTTTACTCAGAGGAAAGCAAGATTATTTTGCAGTTACAGTGCTTTTTGGGATGTGATACACAAGTGCATTCCTTTCACTCCCATTTCCTGCCTCCCTCAAGGGAGGTATGTTCTTGTGCTGGAAAGGTAACTGAAGCTTTAATTCTACTTTAATACGCAGAGCAGGAGCATAGGAGTAGCAGAAGTATCCTCTTCAATACCCATATATCACAAGTATGTTCATACTTTAAACATGCATGCAGACAGTAGATATCCAAGAACTTCAGTTAGAAATAATATGTATTTTTCTGATTTGAATGGTTTTTAAAGGTTTGTGTGTTTTTTTTCTGGAAAGATTGTCAATTCGATATTTAAAATGTCGTATCGAATACCTTCAAAGTCATAACTATTTAATTAAATGGAAATGCAAGGAAGGCACTATCTTGCTATACATTCAAGGAGACATACCATTGTCCTCAAATTATATTTCAGATCTCTATTGGTCAATTCAATTATTCTTACTGACTTTAAACTTCTGTATACAAAATAAATAGTTTTTGCAGCATGAATCTCTTATCTATATGACAACAGCTTGTTTATTCTATATAAATTAAATTTATACTCAATTAAAAAACATTCTTTCTACAGAAATTGTTTTCTTTGGGAGCTGGAGACCGCCAACTGATACAGACTCCTCTACATGATAGCCTTCCTGTTACAGGCACCAGTGTGGCTCTTCTCTTTCAGCAACTGGGTACGTCTCGGTCTGCTTTGAAAAAAAATTCTTTTTTTAAATTACGGAATGAGATATTTTCTGTTCTCATTCAGTTCAAATCATGTGCCAAGAAAGCTACATGGTAAATATTAAATTCTTTTGAATGAAAGAATGACTAATAGTGCTTTTATCCCCTAATCAGACATTCACATAACCTTTTTGTACATCCTGCCTGTGGTAAGTTATCTCCAATATTATCTAGTATCTGTAAGTGTCCTGTGAGCAGAAGTGAGCCTGGCCTCTGTTTAATTACAAAAACATTCATGTAAAAAGATTGCCCACCCCTTGGATACTGTACAAACTCCAAACAAAACCAAGAAGGTTAACAATAAAACTAGCGTAATTGAAAAGCTTTATAGAAAAGATACCATGTACTGATACTGGTAACTTTGTGGAATTCATATTATTCTGTTGTTATCTATTATTCCCTATCTTTCAAGAAGATGATCTAACACAATTCTCATCAAATGCTTACTTTTTTATTACAACTATAATGTTGTGTCACTGTTACCTGGGCACCTCAATACTAATCTCACGTGTCTCACTAAATTTTAACACTTTGTTAGTTGTGTTTCTGTTGGTTTGTGAAGTGACTTTGAAGCGCAAACTTGTAGCAGACATGTATAAGGACACAATTAATAGTCTTTTCTGGACCTGTGAACCTCATGTTTATTCTCAGGTAAATGAGGCCAATCAGATGGCCTCAGAATATGTGTTGTCATCCATTCTTCTCATAAATGGACAATAAGAATGGATGCAAAGTGGAAAAAGAATAGTGAAGAGGAGTAAGAGCATATGTCACAGGAAGCAGTATCAGATCTCATGAGCACAAAGCCATCTACTCATGATAAGATTTAGTTGTAGCCTTTCAAAAAGAATATTATTCCAAAAGGAATATTATTATTTTGTCGACAGCAGTTTAAATTAAAAAATGTGTCTAACATGGTATAGAAGCTGCTTATGCTCACCACAGTCCCTGAGGTTTTACTTGGCTTATTATGTCAAGCTTCCTTAAGATTACTGTGATCAGATTGCAGGTAATGTTTAAAACATGGGTAGACCCAACAACTTTTCCCCTTTTCAGAAGATATAAAATATGGTGTGAGGTACCGTAAGTACGGTATGATATACCATGGGGTATGGTATGTTTGTTCTATAAGTACCGTATGTGATACCTAAGTTGAGGCAGTTTATTTTGGGCAATTGTAGTGAAAGTTGGTATTCACATTTCTGAAAATGTCAAAGCAAGCAAAGCTTTTCTGTAGTGCTTAGATAGGTTAGCTACAATGTCTTATGACACTTGGCTTTTGTTTTGCAAATTGGGATTGTAGTGTTTTGTTACAGGATCAGTCTGAGGAAGACAACAAAGGCAAATAATCTGAAAAGTCATTTTATGCATCTGATTTATGGAGGGAAACTGTGCAAAGACAGAGTGGGAATGTAAATATGGAAGAGGAAACTGAGGACAATCTTTTCCTCTTGGATTCTTAGTAAGAGCATGTTTGCAGAGTGAGCTTTTTTAAAATTCCACTCACAGTGTATAAAACAGAACTATAAAACTTTTATATGAGAATTTAAATTTGCTTTCACACACATAGAATTTAAGTTAATATTATTAGCCATATTTTATTAATGGGTAAATATATACAGATGGATGTCACGTAACGTCCTAAAGATACTGTAGCAGAGTACTGAAGAGTTTGGAGTGTGACCAGGACTCCTAGATTGTTGTGCTAGTAGGCAATCATCCTTTACCTTTACATTTTGAAATTGTGTAATTCATTATTAGCTCATATATACCTTCCAATATCTCTACCCCTTATTTACTTATTTACCCCTTATTTACTCTTTATCTACCATTTCATCTTTCTTTTCCCATTCTCCATTAGCTTTCTTGCTGTAAACATTCTGGTTTCTATGGTTTTGCTGCTCTTCTGCCTTCATTTCTTCCCCTGAGTTCCAGTAAATGTTTGGAGGTCCAGTCTTTCTTGCTTTTTGGTGGCTTGTAAGAAGTACGAGTCAGTAAGCCCTTGCTTACCAGGTGCCCCTTCCAGTTATGGTGCACAGAAGGATATGAAAATCAGCAGAAGGAGGTGGATAGAAAGGGAGATATTGAAGGAATGCTTGCTCGTTGCTCACAATTCTGGTTAGTGACACTTCAGCTGGTCTGAAGAAACTATGTGATTATAAAACTTGGCAAATCTTAAGAAAGAGAAGCTGTAGGATTACATCCTGTTTCCCTGAAGACATCATACAAGTTCTCAAAGGGGAAAAAAAAAAAAAATGCCTCAATACCCTTTCTTTTCTGTTACGGCATAATTTTCTCTTTTACAAGACTATCAAAACTATTAGGAAGAGCTTGTCTAATGGTCTTGTGTAGGTCCTCTTCCTGTCTCTCTCCTATTCTTTTGTGTGATGAGGAAAGTAGCAGTTGCTTGGGAATGGGCCTGCAATTAGTTAAGGAATAGGCAAATAAGTTGGCAGGTAGATTTTATATTTTTTTTTTAAGCAGCTACTTGAACACTTTGCAAAAGAGACTTACTTTTCCCATCTTTTATTTATGACCACTGCTGCTCCCCCTGCCCCCCTTTAAATTAAATGAGAATTTAAATACTCATTCATTCTCACTTTTTATGTAGTCTTACGAAGAGTTCAAGGCAGTGAGTCCGGAAGGATGTGGTAGAACCTATTAGCTCATCCCTCTGAAAAAGTTTGTTTTTCTAAGTCCTAATCCTTTCCTCTGGAGATCATAGTTGAGCTTCTCAGAAATTTTTTGTGTTTTTTGTAACAATATTCTCACTTGCTCTATTTCTCTTGTACCATCTGAACAGGAACTTAAGGCATATTTGTCTCTACCAACCTGCGCAAAAGCATTCTACTTCTGTTGTCCAGTGTGGTGTTGGATAGTTACTTTAATGACAGCTTTTATCACATCAAATACTTGTGTTTAGGACACAAATATTGACTAGGCTGTTTGTCAAGTAATGACATGTTCAGTTATTTCTCTTCTGGTAGGAGTCACTTAATCCTATGTAAATCATTAATAGAAAATTGAAGAGTAGCTAGAAAAATATTTGTGAACTGTAGAAATCACATTTTTAAAAATAGCTCTTTCTTTGAAGAAGATGGGCAGCAAGACAAAATTTACCGCTATGAATAGATACAAAAGTAATTTCAACATTTATTTTGAGAAATATTGTGCAATAATAGTCTCATCATACTTTTTCTGCTTGGCAGGATAATACTGTGTCAGCGGATGACCCTCCCTGTATTACCAAGTTTGCAGCATATCTGGAAATAGACCTTATTTTTACTTAAGCGTTAAACTACAGTTGGGAAAAACATCCCCAAAGGTTTTAAGCTTAGTAATAAGGAACAGCAGTGCTTGACATTTTAAATCATACATTCTTTTTTTATTTAAAAAAAAAAAAATAATGTGACAAAATCCAGGCCTTGTAGCTGGATCACTACACCTAAAAATGATTTCATCAACAAGGATTAGCTGGAAAACAGTAATCGTAAAGTTACTTTTAAAAATTATCTGTGGTAGCTAGAAGACTTTCAATACTCTTCTATATCTCATTGTCTGCTAGTAAGACGGTAGGTATCTATAAAAGCTTCAAAACACAGTAGTCATCTACATGCTCAGAGGATGTTTTGGTTATGTTTCTCTTCTCTCTCACTTTATTAACAATACATTCCTGTGTTTCTGCCTTAAGCTCTTTTCATTTCTCTGAACTCCAACCCTACTTGCCTCTCCATTCTGCTGGCAGTATAGTTATTCAGCACTGCCTTATTCAGTCATTTGTATCTGAGACATACACCTCCATCTCCCCAACAGGCAGTTTTTTCCAAAGAACCTAAGACACAAAATTATATTGGGGACCTAAGCAGCAAAACAAGAATCTAAGGTTTAACCAGCACTTTTAATTTTTGCATGTTTCAAGGACTGGTAGCATGAATCACACTGCTAAGCTGAGCAGAACAATTATGAAAATTTATTTTCCTGAAGAATTAATGTTTCCCTGTACTTTCAAAGACAAAAGAGTTTTCCTTCCTTTCCTTCTTGTTTAGTCTCTTATCTGGGCTATTTTCCTATCCCCTTATTTCCTCTGTTCCATTTCATTTGTCTGTGCTGGTTTTCCTCTTCGTACCTTTAATTCAGCACTCGGGTATTTTCAGTAGGGTTCAGACTGACTTTCAATGTTACAAAGAAAGTAACAAAAATGGCAAAAATGAAACTTTGGAGTAAATTCTACTTTGAATCTTCCGGATGAAGACACAAGGTAAGGGTGCTTTTGAATTCAGGGCTGTGTAGAGTAGAGGTTAAATATATGGAACAGGATGAAGGTGAATGCTAGGTTGAGTCAGGTTGCTTGGCAAGCTTGTCTTTCATTTCTCCAACCTATGATGTAACTCATATGAAAGTCTTTCATTTCTCCAACCTATGATGTAACTCATATGAAAGTGTTAAACATCATTATCCTTCAGCCTTTTTACATATCTTAAAATTTTTTTAATCTAGAAATTGGGCATATACCATTAGGCAGTATATGAAACTTTTAAAGCAAGTACTTTATAAATAATATATTTGAAGACTGCAGTATCATTAAATATCAGTAATTCCAGATGTCAGAAGTTATTTGTTGATTCAAATCTAAAGATTGTTACAGTTGCACAAAATATAAATACTAGGGTAGATGTGTGTGATGATGGCAGAGTTGATGAGCAGGGAGGTACTTCAGTACAAGCAGTTTAAAATTCTCCACTCCAGTGTTAATAGTACTGGTAACGTATTTTTTTTAATATGGCTATTCAATTCCAAAATTCAGTGCTGTGACTTAAGACTGAGAAGTTCGGTGTATTATCTGTCCTTTCTCCCTAATTGCATGTTCCTACCTTTCTTTCGCACCAGAGCAGATATTTCTCTGATACGGCAGAGGGCTGCTTAAAAATAATTAATTAACACTAAGCAAGCA